CCCTGAAGAATTGTTTTTGTACTAGTGGGTATGGGTGTGGGTCTTTTCCAATTACCAACCACACCCACACCCTTACCCTTCCGAGCGGATCCGAAGACCGGAATCATTGTCCTGGGTCGATACGATTCGAGTTTATCAACAAATCGAATGGAATCAAGTGGATATTTCAATTTCTTATGCTCAGTTTTAATTGTACAAAATTTGAATGCAGATATCGACGAAAAACGATTCGATTGTGGAGGAGAGTCGGCCCTCTTTTGTTGACATCGAATGTATTTTTCAGTGGCACAAAAAGACATTCTCAGAACGGAAAGAAAAGGCAAAGAGAGAGAAACAAGAGAACACCTCGACTCACCCTCAAATTTCAGAGATTTGGCTGTCTTTTTTGCCTCACCCGCTAGTAATGTTCTCACAGGACTATCGTAATGATCTTTTCGGGTGGCGTTAATGCTTTTTTTTTTGTATTTTGAAAAACTAAAAATGGATGAACTGTGCAACATGTGGAAATTCGTCCTGTATGTCGATGGTATTTGTGGTTTTTGAAAAGTATTTATTACGAGAAAAATAAAAACAAATTACTTGAACTCGAAGCACTTTTTTTAACATTAATGACGAGATATGAATCCATAAGACGGAGGTTTTGTCTCTGTATAACTGCAAACATTTGGATTGGTTGCGCTTGCATTAATAGAATACTTTTTTAATGCTGCTATACGTTTTTGATAAATAACGATAAGAGTGATTATTACCAGAAATAAACATCCAGCTACAACACTCGGTATAATGGTGCCCAGAGGTACTCCAGTTCTCTTTCGACAATCTCCTGTTTTCACACTGCAATAACCTGAAATACATTCGTAATCATATTGACAATTATAATAAATTTGTTTTCCACGTTCACACTGTTTCGTCATTGGATTGCACCATTGGAACGTTCCACATTCTCGTGGATGTATTTGATAGCCAGAACATGGTTGAAACAGTGCTATGGAATATTGACATCGGCCGTCGCTGCAGTAAAATTCACATGAACTATCATCCGAACATGAACAATTATATAAGCATAAGCTGCGTGCTGTTGTTGCCAAGGGTAATAGTAGCAGAACGAACGGCAACATTGTCAGTGAAATGGTCGTCAAACTATATTGTTGCTAGAATATACAAGTTTTATTTCGTATTTATTCGATAGATAACGTAGGTTATGACACATTTGTCTTATCATCTGACTCAACACTGACGTAGAAAAATGTGAAGCGCTATCTTGCATCATGATAAACTGAGATTGCGTCGCAAGTAGACGTGAGCAAGTGAGCGAAGGAAGCACAAATACAGAACAAAAAGAATTGCGATGCACATGTTGTATAGGCAAAAGCTAAAGTTGATGTTGAGAGCTATCTATATGTCTAAAACCAGATGAAAAGAGGCAAAGAAACGGGCATCACACAAGCGCATTTAGAGTTAGGAACTGATTGTAGTCAAACATCCGTGAAGTGGAGAGAAGGACGCTCAAATAGCTCAATAGTAACAGAGCAGGATGATTCCGCCAGGATCCTCCCACCGTTACAGTGACAATCTTTTAATTTGACGAAACTTTCAGGATTTGTAGAGTTTGTTGCGCTGATCATTTTGGTAACAAAAAATGACGAACTTCATAGAGAAATGGCGGAGCAATCGCCAAAGTACTGCAAAGACGGATGTTAGCGAAAAAACGTGGTGTTTTGGGTGATCTCATCATTACTCGATTTGACTATTTCTATTTTGAAAATTGAATTTAAAATCGAGAAGCCTGATAAAAAATGCTCCAGAAAATGTATCTGGAAGATACTTTTTATGATTTCGTACATTCATACCCTCGCTCAAACAAAATGCATCCAGAAACAAGTCGATCCACATGTTAATCGAAAATTCGAATTCGCGCACTTAGTGACATATACCGTTAGATGGAGTGAAAGTTCCTCTATCGAACCATATAATTGGCTTTCTACGGGAATGACTCCTTCGTAAGAAAATGGGTCAAAACTGAAAAAAGCTAGATTTTGGTATTAGAGCATATGTTTCAGGGGTGAAACCAAAAAGTAAATTCAGACTCATAATCACCGTGTAAAAGTGCATCGAATAGTATATTTAGAAGCATTCCTAACCAACTTTATTTTGGCCTTATGGCCGATCCATTGGCTCATTGAAACGTTTATCTCGTTGTTTCTTGATATGTTGAGCAAAACACTACGACATATTCATTTTTCTCTATGAATGCACTTGAGGGTGTATGTGTGGGTGTGTGGACGCGGGTGTAGGTGTGAAGTTTTTCCTTCTGTTACACTCATGTCACACATCCACAACCACACTCCACACCCCACACTCACACTGGCACCTCACCCACGCCCACACCCACACCCTTCCTTCTCCAGTTACATCATGCTCGATTAAATCATTCAATGTAAAGTCATATAGATAACTAAAACAAGCGACCATACAAGAGAACAATGTAGAACTTTTTGATTTATAATCTGAATAAATCAGATCTACAGTAGCGGCAAAAAGTCTCGCACCCAGATGAAAACTATCTAAATCTCAACCGTTTGGACTCATAGTTTTATTCCAAATAGAACTCAATGAATCCTGATTGTAAGCACCACTCGCGCCAGTATTTGTGTATTTGATAAAAAATATAGAAAAAACTTTTCTCGATACTTTTTTCATGTTTTCAACAAAAATAAGAAAATGATCCCATATGATAATATATCAATTGAAAAATTTTTTATCAAATACATGAGTAATTATCAATATTTTAGTATCAAAATAAAGCTCAACATATGATCTTTCAATAGTAAAAAAAAATAAATACATTTGTTTGAGGATTGGAATATTGATTACAGTAAAATGATCATCATTTTTCAATCACTCGATGAACTTCAATAAAATTTATCGTGTAGATAGCTAGAATAGAGTACTACATAATGAAATTTTGGTCAAATCAAAGAATCTTTTCTTTCTGGAATTATGAATTTTACAAGGAACATGACTAGTACCTATTATAACTTTCTTCTGACTCGAGTAATTTTGGCACAAGTGCTGCTTATGTTCTGTCGCTATTGTATTTGCGTTCTCTACAAGTTCAAAACTTTTCAGTACGCACGCGCTCACATATTACTTCTTATTTCTTTTCTATTCAGAAGATTTTTATTTCTCTTTCACCAAAAAAATCTAATAAATACAAACTATAACCACCATATGGGTGTTTTGCTACTATACTGACGTTCTAGTAATTCTATATGAATCAGTTCTTCTTTGTTGTCAACAAAAACATCATAACAATAATCAATGTATTCTTTAATATGTTTTTCTTCGAAATCCATATTTATGAGTATATCTTTGAGAATTCGCGTATACATAAAAGATGGATCTAATTGATCTAACTTCTTGTTAGATGGCATAAAAGTAAGTGGCATAGCATTTTGCTCACATTGATGAACGGCTTGTTTGAGTGCTTCACAGATAGATGCTATTTCTGTAAAGACGCCCTTGATCTTAGGCCAATCTCTGACCCATTGTTCATGACGTTTTTTGTTGCCACAAAAGATAAAAATGGAATCCACTTGGGACATATTGTGCACACGTGGTACAGTATGTTGCCCAAGAAATCCTGGCATGATCATGCATACCTTGTTGTCGTTAATTGTCTGAATAAATTCGATGCATTGATCACTATCCATAAAAGTACTAATGTTGTTAATAGCACGTTGAAGTTGTATGATTGTGTTCTGATAATCTTCGCTGTTGCTGTCAATATTATTGTCCAACCAGATCAGAAGGGCATTTTGTACTTTTTGGATATTGACACGTCGTCTCTGAGTAGCATCTCTCGAAACTACAATTGTTTGGTCAATTTTTATGGAGCTATCCAATTTGTCAGTTGCCATTGATTTCTCTTTGTTCAGTGTTTGTAACGTGAATGTTGTGAATTTTAATTGTTTTAGAAAACTATTGATAAAAAAATAGCTTATTTTACAGGTCTCTACGTTTTTTCACGATGTTTTTTCTCTTTCGTTATTGCACAACAACACATTTTTTTCTTTTACTATTTATTAGGTTGCTGTGGAGAACAAATGAAAGCAACATCGACGTTCACACATTTTTCTTTCTGTTCTCTTGCATGCATCATCCATTATATAGTTGTGTTCCATTTTCTTTTTCTGATTCTGTCTGTTTATTATTCAGCGTGAGTATTATATTTAAGAGACAGTCCCTGAGAACATCGAACATTGGCTAGCAGAATCATACTGTGAAAAATTTTAGCTCCTATATTTTTTTTTATTTCAAACAAAAGAGCACCATTGAAAACCTCTAAATTTAAATGTTCAACTCATTCTGAAAAATCTATGAAAAGTTACGAAGTAAACACTGAAAGGATCTCTATGAATGAAACTCTCTTTCTCTAGTTAAACTTTGTTCGTCAGTATTTTATTAATTTCTCCAAGATTACTCATTAAAATCTATTGAAATTATAACTCAATCGCTAGGGAAAATTCCGTTCTATAAAATCTTATGCATGACTTCTTCCTCGAGTAAACTTTTATCAGTACTTTATGCTCAAAACTAGATCTTATCGAACTGATCATGAACACCAACTTCAAAAAAGTTTTTGATCGAGTCTGCGCTGAGAAAAAGTGGAAGCACGAAGAACATCTCAAAAATTAGTACTTTTTAAAAATGTAAGGTAAAATTTGCATGTTCCTTCTCTTTGATTGATTCAATTAGAAACTTTGTAATAGACGATAGTTATTATTTTACGTTCGTGTGATACATTCCTTTTACGTATCTTCCCATAGGTTTATCTAACTTTTAATATGATTATGATATTATACATAATATATCTGTTACAGTATTTGATTCATATTAACAACAAAAAACACAGTTTTTTTCGACAATGGGCAGAGAAAAATGACGAATGAATATCATTTGTTGATTTTTGAAATATTTTAATTCAATCATAATTATCATTATAACCAAAAATAATTTCCATGTACATTGTTGATGATAATGCAATTTGAATGATTAAATTGAGTTTGTTGTTTTTCTAACCATTCCATTGTTAGTGTTTTTGTTATTGGTAAGCGAAATTTTTCATGAACAAATACATGTAAATAATTCAATGCAGACATTCGTGATAAAATATAATCGATTGTATTAGTTGTGGTTTGAAGACCCAATGATAAATATTCACATTTGGTTTCGAAAATCGGCAGTATTCGTTCAAGTTCATGTCTATTCAGACATTCTAGTGGATTTTTATATGAATGTAATTTTAAAACACGAACCTTTTGTGACAAATGATTACATATATGAACATCATTCCAGTTATCTGTCAATCTTATCAATTGACTTTTTCTCAAAGATAATAAATATAAATAAGGTGCATTATCTAATAGAATTTGAAATTGTTCCATAGAGATAAATCCAAAAAGATCAATATGTAATTGCTCTAATTTAGTTAAGGCATGTAACCAATAAATAGATTCGAATTGAGTATTAATTACTAAATTGATTATTTTAGTTTTATTGAAGTTATGATTCGGTGTGATATAATTTTCAAATATTAACGTTTTAATATTTGCATAGATATTAAAATAATTATTAATCGGTAAATTTGAAATGGTTTTCTTAAAAGAATTTTTATAAATTGTCAATGTTTCCATAGGATATGGCAATGTATAAAATATGCCAAGTTTTCCATATCGATTATTCTTCGAATTAGCAAAGATATTACAATAAACAAACCATTGCTTTTCTTTAATATAGAATGGTGTTGAATATGAGACTATTAGTCGTTTCAATTCTTGTGATGTCAATGAACGAAATATAAAATAAAATTTAAATGTTTTTAATAATGGAAATGATGAACGAATGAGATCTTCCCATCTTTGACCGTTCAACGGTACTTTTCCTATTCGCATTTCATAAATTTCAAGAGTAATTAATTGAGATAAATGAACAAGAGAATCTAATATTAATGAATAATCAGTATCAACCATAAAAACAATTTTTAGATTTTTTATTGTTAATGGCCATATTAATTTATTTTTCTTTTCACAAAAATGATTTATTGTATATTCGATTGTTTCAATTCGAGAAAAGTTCTAAATAAATAAGAAACAAAAAAAAAGATTTACTAAAAAGAAAGATTTGTTTTTCTCATACTTTAATCCAATCTATATTTTCACATGAACCAAAAACGAATTTTTGAAGTTTTGGTAAATCAAATGGTAATATCTCTTTTCCACATAGAGAATCAATTGACAAAGAAATCAAATTTATTAAAGATGGAAGTAGAGAAAAGAATAACTGTTGAGTTCTACCGTTCAGTTGTCCAATAGATAATGTTTGTAATTGAGAAAAATTCTTAATAGAAAAATAATTTTCCATAAAATAATCAATCCAAAATGGTCTTTGATCATTATTAGGTATGCGTAATGATTTCCATTGATTTGTCTCATGAAATTGAAAAATAAAATCACATTTCTTCTTGTTTATTGATATCAAATCAAATGTTTGACAATATGTAAAAACTAAACATTGAAAGTGATTATTCAGATTTGAAAATGCAATAATTGTATCAATAGAAGTTAAATAAGAGAAGATTTGAACGAATAATTCATTAGGAAAACTTTCCAATACTGTTAAACAATTCTCATTTTGTATGCCAGTCTCCATTTTCGAAAACAAAATTTGCAAGCAAATCTTTTGTGTTCTTATGCGATACACGTGTCGTATTATATTAGCTTAGAGATTTCATCATTACATGTAAGGACATGACTCAGTAAAAAATATTTATATAAGTAATAGAAAGATTCTATGATAAGAACATTAACAGTTAATTCAATGATTAGAAAAATCTATCAATACTTAATGTGTTTCTTTATGGAAAAGAAATGAAAGACTTTTTCATTTATGTGTCTATAGTTTATTTCCGATACTAGTGAGAATTTTTCATTAATCGAATTTTCGATTTTACAATATTGAAATCTAGAATAGAATTAGGCATGATATGTAGTCAAATGAAACAAAAAAAAATATCAGGTATGAAATTGACATGTTAACAAAATTTTTTTCTTTTCTCACTAGAAACAAAGCTTTATTATATACACTTTATGATTGACTGTCATAGATATGAAAGGATCTTAATCATCATAGAATTCTTGAACTAGAACTGAAAGAATGTCTGTTTTCTTTACCAAATGAATAATAGATAGAGAAAAAAAAAACACCACGGATATATATTTCATATCGTCTATTCCTTGATTTTCAAGAGTAAATAAGTAAATATAACATCAAAAATATCATATAACTAATATCAACGATTCCTATCTGCAATAATGATTGTATTTTAATTTTATTGCAAATAACTCTCAACTACGATACTTACGTGACATTAGATAATATTTAACACAATTGATTGAGAAATCTGTGAGAATATTTTTCATTTATTTATACTTCTTCAAACTATTTTCCTTTAGTTTTGATTGATTTGCTATGATATAGCAACAGTGATACCTCAGTTTGTCTCAAGCTTCATCTTCCACGTCATTCGTGAACTAATAACTGCTTCATTTTTCTTTTGAATGCCCTTTCTACTCATAAATTAGAGGAAAAAGGGTTTGTAATGTTAGCTGGGTTAACTAGACAATTGTTGAACAAGTTTTCGTGGTGATTTCAGAATTTTTCTTCCTGCAAACTTTTAGTTACAACTCAAAGTGATGAAAAAAGAGTCAAAATCTCAAGCGAAATATCAATAATAACGAATAGTTTTTACCATTCTGTAAGACATAGTACTATTTGTGACGTTTTAAAGAGTTTTTGGCGCACATTCATAGTTATTTAACTCTTCTTATTGTGTTGTTTCAAGACCGCACTCACTTCATGATTGACGTTTCCGGCACGATTGGACAGGATAAAATCGTTGAGGAATATTTTCAATTAGCTTGGCTTTGAAGAATCTCCGATCCAACTTTGGTGTAGTCGGCATCAAAACCCATTTTTGTAAAATCCACATATATTCGGTCTGATGTTAAAAAAGTTAGCCATCGATCGGGGTGTGGGTGTGAGATTTTCGCGTAGCCACACCTACACTCTTAAACAGAAAGAGAGAACATCCATACATCAAACCCACCTCCACGCCGTAGTATTCTGTACGTTTTTTTAGTGATTTTTCTCATTGTTGATGATCATTTGATGTAGAGAAAACATTTTCTTCGAGCAGCAAAGAAATAACTGATTTGAATGAAGCCGAAACTACCAAACTTGATTTCGTACAGACTGTTTTCCCTTACAAGATCGAATTTCTCAGTGTTATCAGGAAGTCCGATAAAAAATTATTTGTTCCTGTATTACTTATGTGATATGTCAAATCAAAGTTACATTCTACTGGATATTGCTTGAGCAACAGTATCCGTATGAGATTTATTCATGAGCTCTGTGTTCATCTAGTAATTTCATATGAGAGTATAATTGCTTATCACTATTAATAACAAAGCTGTTCACATCGAATAGTCAGATTATTCTTTACATTTTTAAGCGAGTCATTCAATTTTTTAACTACTAAGTAAATCTATTTGATAGTTATTTTTATTGAAAACTTATTCAAATAACTTTCAAATACATTGACTCTGTAACCATAAATGTAGTTTAGTAAATTTTCAAATCTTTGTTGTATTCTTGTGCCATACTATACTGATATCAGCCTAATTTATACTTCGCACACTATTTCGGATATAAACCTAAGTAGCTGAAAATGGAGTTGAAATCTTTTTTTTTTTTTTATTGTGAATTTTATTTAGTCATATTATGAATGTAAAACGAGAGTAAAATTGCACAATTTGATGATTGCTACTGTTCAACAACATTAACCTTGGACAATGGTTCAATAATTGATTGGAATGGATCTTGCGATGTAATCTCATTTGAATTTTTCATCGGGGTTAAAGTCAATTCTTCTTTAGTAGAAGTTGTATCCACTTCATTCTCACTCTCTGACGTAGTCACATTGCAATTTGTCACCGTTTCGGAATTCGGATCTAGGTGATTATTTGAAAAATATTCAATGATGGTCGATATCGATTGAGATACTGTTGTGTCCTGATTATTCGAGATATCTTCGTTTGTAGTCACTATAAACTTCGAAAAAGGTATATTATAGCTAATTGTTGAGTTAATTAAAGAAGAATGTTCGCTAGTGATAGGGTCTTCTACACGTCGATCGAATTGTAGTCGTGCATCCTGAAGATAATCGATTGTTTCATCTTTTCCCATGGTACCCTTAATAATTTTGGTGATTTCATACTTGCCCAAATGAAATGATAAACAAATAAGTAATGGATAGGCATCAATATTGAATAGACTCAATTCTTGAACGATAGAATCGCCAATGCATTGTTGTATTGTTGTTTGGAGGCTAAAATACAATTATTATTATAGACAACGGTGAAATCTTACTTTTAGATTGTTTTTTTTCCATAAATCGAATGTAGAGAGAAAGTATTTTAACTCGAATTAAATGACTTAAACTTACGATTTATAATCAACATCATCGGTTCGATCATAGACCCATAAGACAAAGTTTTGATTCAAATAATCGACAATATTGCTATTAGGAAGAGTATTCGAACAAAATAGATGAGTACCAATACTTCGCTCATGATGCAGATACATAGCCAAGGAGCGTGGCTAGAAATGAGAATATTTTTTGTGAATTTTCTTAAAATTTTAAGCATACATTTTCATAATCGAACAACGATTGAACTAGAGCTATTTCTAATTCACTTGTACAGATGTTGAGTACATAGATCTCATAGAGTTTGTTAAATATATGTGGCATTCTCTCTGACGCTGTATATCGTTTAGCCAATTCGTCATATTGTTCTCTCATTGATGGACTGTCTAGAAAAATAATTTTATGGTCAGAAATATTTTTTGAAACATTTTAAACTTACCTATTATGGGCTCTCCTATGTTATATTGAGCAATGTCAATAGGCTCATTAGCATATGGATCGATCTAAGAGAAACAACGTAGAAATGTCTTCGATATAAAATAGTTTTTCATGCATCATACCTCTGGATCACTGTTATAAATTAGATTAGATTCTTCTTGATTTAATGTGATGCAACTCTGCATTGTATACTTCAATTGCTGTCGTAATATTTTCGTTGATGATGATGATCTTAAACAGAAAAAAGTTAAACGTTACAATTATGTATGAGACTTTTTCTCATGCTTTTTGTGAATAAGTAGGAAAAAACCATGAGTAAAACGTATACCTGAGTCAATCACCTTTCTTTTTATTTTTGCTTACCTTGTTATGAATCATTTACATTCGAAGGAAGCTTGCTTCGTTTGCTTGCATAGAATGATGACGAGTTATGTAATTACTATGTGCAAAAAAAGATGTCGTAGCAATCAATCACGGTAATTATCAGTGAAATCGAATGTCACGTATCAACAATAAAAAATTATATATCAACGTCGTTTTGTAATCGAACTGTGCAACATTTTGTTTATTTTCAACAATAATTCTGTAAATTTATTTCGAATCATACTTGATAAGAAGACATACTTTCTAGAGGTCAATACGTAAGTCATAATCATGAAAGGAAGAAAAAAAAGGAAGAATAAAAACCCTAGAGCGATTTTTCAGTGTTGTTTTTGCTCACAGAATATTCATCATCATGTATAGAATGAAAAAAGATTAATGTAGAATTCAACGAGTTAGTCAAGTCTTCATATTTTGAAATTTATGTACAGGAAAAACTGAAAGAAATATATTTTGAAAATGATCAATTTTCAACAAAATTTTATATAAAACTTGACCCAAAAAATAATTTAATGTGAAGAATATGAATCCGAAGTCAAAGAGTGATCATGCTAATATTTTAATTAATAGGGTGTGGATGTGGATTTGCCTTAGAATAGGAATAAAACACACCCACACCCACACCCACACCCACACCCACACCCACACCCACCCACACCCACACCCACACCCACACCCACACCCACCCACACCCACACCCACCCACACCCACACCCACACCCTAGTTTGTCATCATCATATCATATAATCGAATGTATAGTATCTTGTATATAATCTTCTATTTATTTAATAAATGAAGATTTTGATTCAAGAACGAGAGTTGAATAGTGAACGAGAAATAGCATTGAAGACTTTTATTTAATGACACTGAGATATTTCATGCCACTAAAAAGAAGACACATCATCATATGAGTAACAGTGACTTTTCATTTTCTTTAAACAACAAATATATGTAAGAAGATCATTGAATAAAATTGAGACTAATTTTTTCAAAGAAATACATAGAATGTTCGAATCTTCATTGAGCAAACAAAAAACTAATATTATCATCATAAAAAGTTCGGACAAACTGTATCATATAACATATGTAGAAAAAGTATCACAATGACCACTCTAGCATTCTTATCATGTCTTAGCAATTACGTGAAGCCTTTCGAGATTTCTTTTCTATTATTATCAAATCAATATGCTATATACGAATTAATTCATTAAAAAAAGAGTGAACTGTGTAGGTCTGAATGGTTAGTTATCGCTATTTAAAAGTTACATTACCAGATAATAGTAGTGAGAAAAGTTGTTATTTATCAACTAACAAGTCGCATAAGATATATTAGAAATATGTTAGTCTATGTCTATCTATCGGAAATATTAGATAATTGTCGTTATGATGAAATTCTTCTTTCTATGTTATTAGTCTGTTAATCTTAAAATAAAAACAGCAAAAATCATTATATGAGACAACGGAAAAATATCTAGAGAAAGCACAATAAGACATACATAAACTTTTTTTATTATAAATTTCGATAGTGTGAATAGTATATTTTCAAAATCCTCATACAACCTCAAACATCTTGATGATTAAAACATTGCCGAGAATAGTTTTGAAAAGAGAAATATTTAACTTTTAATATCATAGTTATCGATGAATACCATATGGCAATGAAGATGTCAGAGTAACCTTAGATGAATTCTAAATACTTTCGAAATTTTTAAAGCATGATCTTTTCCACTCATTTTATTTTTCCAACAATAGTATTAACAGAAACTATGAAAGACACATAAATAAGAACATCATGAAATAATTTGAGGATTGTTATTTTGAAAATCATACTAACCGTTAATCTTCTATTTGATGAATTCTATCTGTCATTATATCATGAAAATCTGCAATAGAGTTGTTTGCTCAGAAAAAAAAACTTCTGAAAAGAATATACATAGCTTTTAATGCAACGTGAAGCAGAACATTCATGTAATCGATCGCATATGCATTCGTTTCTTATACTTTGCGATCCATGTCTTGCAATAACACAAAATTTTTAGGATTCTTCAATATAAGTTTTTGTGCATCTTCGCTGTATTTCGCAAAATAAAATTTTGAGAATTTGTTCTGCATTCGTTAGCAAAAGTAATAAAAACTTGTCACAAGACAGGATCAAATGCTGGTGGGTGTGGGTGTCGGAGGTTACTATTTCTCTTTAACCACACCCTATATGCATTGAAATCACGAAATTATAGCTTGACTAATACACTGAAGTTTTCGAAGCTGTCGATTAAGATTTATTAAGTCTTAAATCGATTTTTTGCGATCTTTTATGGAAACGGCCATTTTAATCAGATTTCCAAGCTGTGATTATTTTTACATGAGTACATGAAACTATACAAAGAGAAGGATGTGACGATAGTATAAATGAAAACATATGTTTTTGAAAGATAACTGTCATGTATTATGAAGATTCTGCACTGATACTACAGATGGTCATCAATATCGATTTTCCCGTTTTATTGCTAGAGAAACGTGAAAACTTGCTTTAATATTAACCATTTCGCGCTGGGTATCCCGTATACGGGATGGTGACATTCTTCCTCAGATACAGATATCAAAAAGTACTCGAAGTGGTATTTGGTACTTGTATCTGAGGAGCTCTTTTTGTTATAACACATGAGAGACTATGGGCGTCGAAAGTTTTATTGGAAGGACACGTTTTAAGTGCGAAACTTCGAGCGTCTCTAGTTCTCTCTCAAGAATCTTTAACAAAGTAAATAAATCGATGTATCAAAACGCTTCTAATAAAAATTATATTACAAACGATGGAGCTCAAAATGCTCATGCAACATCTTCCTTTGGAGAAGAAAATGTTTGAAGGATGATACAGAATGAAAGTACTATTCGCAAGATCGAGCATCGGCTATGCTAGCATGCATTCCTTTATGAAATTCGTGGCTATTAAGTGCTGAGGCTTGGAAAAATGAAAGAGAACGTGGTGACTTTTAGACGTGCAAATTTTTACAGGTTATAATAAGGAGTAATTTTTGAGAAATACAAACATATTTTCTGCTAAAAAACCTCCGTCGTGAAAGATTCAAAAATATTTTTTCGGTTAACGAATTTAATCATTTTCGATGCTATATCTGTTACTTGGTTGGTGATCGTGTTTTGTGAAGAATAGATTGCTGTTTGGATAGGTATTACCTTTTCTATTTATTTAATGCCGGTTGCTTTTTTTTGTCGGCACTCAAAGACTAACTCTATCTGACTTCACCTGAAAATATGGTTATCAAGAAGACACGAAAGAAAAAAAACCGCAACCATATTATTTATTTGATTATTATTCTGTTCAACTTTCGTTTTCTTGTTATCTACGTAAACATTTGAACATTATTTCTCGTACTGATAAGAATAAAAAACAACATTAGACATTGATGAAGTTCTCTTTTCTTAAAAATAAAATATTCATATTCAAGTTTCAATCTCAAGCAGGAAATAAAATTGAATTTCTATTATTTAGAAAATCTATCATTTTCTAAACAATAGAAATTCAATGAAGAGTTAACATAGCAAGAGAAGAGAACATTAAAGACTTTAGCAATCCTCCACAAAAGGCTTCATATTCTACACTATATTTGAATGCATTTATAATCATTTCAAAAAACACTAATTTTCAGTTTATAAATGAGTTATTATGAATAACAAGTTTGGAGGATATAGGTGAATTCCACATTCCAGCTCCAAAGAAGCTATGCTAACAAGTTTTTTCTACTGGAACAAAAAAAAATTATATATCAGAACGAAAGGTTTTTTCAATGATGACCCCAAATATTTGTTCTTCTTATAATGACAATAAAATATCAATTGATAAACATAATAAAATTTTCATTTTGTAATCCTTTCAAAGCATGAATTCTCTTTGTCATTCATACGAAATATTTTTATTGTTGGTTTTATCGATTACAATTTCTTTTTTTGTAATTGAATATTTTAGTTGACAATTTTGTATACTTTACATGATAAATTCTATTGATGAACATCAACTAGGTATACTTTTTCAGTAGACATATTCTGACAAGAGTAGAACAATGCTCTTTTTACTCTTGGCCTGATGAGAAAGACATGTAAAATGAAATGTATCCTTCGTTTGTTTGTAGCCATCTGCTTGATTTTGTATAGTTGCCTATGCTTGTCGTGGAATTATCATGCTAGTGATTGTTGATTTGTGTAGAATGATACGATTATAATTGATGTAAGTCTCGGTTTCTAGATAACTTTCCTCGTAATAGTTCGAAATAATTGCTATCTCGTTCAGTGAAAGAAACACAATACATTTACTTTTGTAGCTATCATACTAAATTAGACATTTTTTCTCAACATCAATTCTCTTTTTATCTACTACACGTTGGATTTAACGCATTCGAGGCGACATGAATATTCGTTTTCATAATTTGTGAAAAGTTTCATTTCTTTATTTATGGCAACTGTAATACTTCAAAACAGCTTGTACCAACGTTTCTTTATCAGTAGCAAAAGAATCAACCCTTTGGTCAAAGTATGACAGTGATATTCAATCTTTTCTGCGGCAAATGAGATTTCAATCCATCCTATACTGTGACCCACCGGTAGATTACATCAACTCGAAATGGTTAAGTTTTACACAAAAAGTATTCTTATCGAAATGTTAGTATTATGATATTAGATGAGATATGACTTAAGTACATATTTCTCTTTCACCAATAGATAAATAGAGCTGAAATTATTGCAATTTGACTACATACAAATCGCAACGCTCTGTTGACATGATCGATAGATAAGTAACATGCTTAAACCAAATTTAATTCAAATGTAATGCTTTATTTTGTTTCTATCTAATAAATAAAACAATTATTTTCTTCTAATACATTAAGTCACCTTGTGTATAGAACAAAAAAGTACCATTAGAATATAGTTCAATTTAAAGTAAAATTCATATAATCAATGTAGAACACAACAAAAATCTAAAATAAGTTCATATGTTTTTTTTCAATATTTGAATTTATTTACCAAATGTCAGTCCATTGGTTCATTAAATGTTGAGTAGAGAGTTTTTGAAAAATATTCGATTGGATATAGTTACATTTGTCGATAATATAGACGTGTATGATCAAAGCAAAAATAAAAATGGGTGTGGATGTGGGTATGGATACGTGTATTGTCTTGACATGCAGTACATCCAGCCCACCCGACACCCACACCCCACACCCACCACCCCACACCCACCCACACCCACACCCACACACCCACACCCACACACCCACACCCACACCCACACCCACACCCACCCACACCCTCCCACACACCCACACCCACACCCACACCCACACACCCACCCACACCCACACCCACACCCACACCCACACCCACACCC